GCTCTTTGTGTGAAACCATCCTACTGTGCTGGAATTGGTTCAAGGAAATGGAATGGTACTCTTAACATTTTGTTTCTAACGGATTGCTGGCGTGTGGGTCTCGATATAACCCGCACCCGGACTTGGTAGGTAAAATCCGGACCTGGACTCGAACTTGGTTGATAAAATCCGGACCCGGAACCGAGCTCGGACCGAGATTTTGCTTGCTTGCAATCTTGACCGATGAACTGATTTTACGTTATTTTACAAAAGCATGTGGCCAACTCTTGCTGCAGTGGAATTTAAGAATAGTGAAGTTCAACCAAGACAAAAGCACAAGAAATTTTATTTACCTACATAAAATGGTAACTAACATAAGCTGGTATGATGGTAATAAGGTGGAAAATATTTTTTCCACATTGTAACCTTTCCACGCGGATTTAAGTGCGACAGATCTTTTTTCAACCACTTCGACGCAACCGCGATCGTGGCTTTGCGCATATTCCTTATCCCGGCTTCACGCGTAATTTTTGCGGCTTGAAACGAATTGTCCCAATTAACCTAATCTGAATTTTTCTATTAAAAAAACATTACTCAGCACTTTAACTGTGGGTGATTCACTTAAAACAGTTTTTTTTCTATTTGACGCGAACTCTCTCGCGGCTACACGCCTATTCTTCCATACCTTTGAACGACTACTTCACCACTACGTACATTTTTTAAATAACTCTCCCATCGACCATTCCATTCCATTCTACCAATGGAATTTATTTCTTTTTAGCAGAACCTCAACTTTGCCTAATACTTCGAATCAACATTGATGTAAAGCTCCTACAACATTCGCAATTCCTCTTCTTAACGACGAGTCTGCTTCAGCCGGCTTACGTACGTCACGTTATTCGTCTTATGGCGCGACAATCTGGCGCTGCTAACTTTCACACGCAATTACATACTTAGGACCGTACTCGAAGACTATTCGTTCAAAAATTTCAACAATCGAAATGATTTAAATGTGTTAGCGGGTTCTCGTTACATATGGCCTTGTTCAACGAGTTGTTCCATTCAAATAATACAGATTAATTTATTTCAGTTTTCTTCTTCTTTTCATTCGCCTCAACAGTTCTAAACCTTTCCGTAATGTAACAATAAAATGAAGGCTTTTCACGTATTACAAGGATCAATGGATTGCTTCGAACCATCTCTTGTTAAGATTTAGTTCCAAAAGTTTCTTTAATAATGTTTATCGTAGGTATCGGTTCCCAGAGTGGGTTCATAAATTATTAGCTTATGTCAAAGGAATAGTCTAAAGCAGGCATGTCAAACTCATTTATCGCCAAGGGCCATTTTAAGGGTCCCACATACAGCTGCGGGAACGAAAAAATACAAATAATCATAAAATCATGAAAATATACCCTGTGCCCTATTTTTTTGAGACTGCAGTCGTGTATCTCAGCTGTTTTTATAGGTAAGAGATGTACGGTTTTCAGGACCCTGTGCCATTTTTTTGTTAAACTTAACAACTTAAACAAGCAGAATCAATCCAACTAAGTGCGTTTGTGTCTTATTAGATACAGGGTAAAAACGAAAAGGTTGACTTTTTGGGATGTTATCAATCATACCTTACTACCGATCTACGATAGAAAAAAAGGTAAAAACTACCTATAGTAGATATGTTTACGTAAAATCCAGTAGCGTAGTAAAAAAAATTGAATCACCGTTATTGAGATTGAACCCAAACTTGATATTTTTTTAATGTAACACCCTGTATTTTAACGTAAATTTTTTGCATTTTTTTTCGTGATTACATTGATGAATCATCCTATATTTTTTAAAATTATGTATCATATTTTTCAAAATGACATGTTTCTATCGCCAGCTATTTTTATTGATTGACATCGGCTGCCTTATAGTTACCATGGATCCAATAAACAGAACAAAATCTCCATGAATCCATTGCCTACTATTTAAAGAAGTTAAAAATAAGGTTTTTATTAATTTTTATCGATAAGATTAAAAAATATATATGTTGTGATAGATCAATGTAATCAGGAAAAGGTATGAAAAGCAATTGACGTTAAGATATACAGGGCGTTTTAAAAAATACCAACTTTAGATCAAATCTCAGAAACTGCGATCCAAAAGTTTTTTTACTACGCCGCTGGATTCTACGTAACAAGATCTAAAATAGCCATTTTTTATCTTTTTTCTATCTTACATCGGTAGTAAGGTATTATAACATTCCACAAAGTCAAACTTTTTGTTTTCTCCCTGGAACTCAGAAAAAAACGTAGCTTGATTGGTTCTGTTTGGGGTATTATAAGTTTCACCAAAAAGTGGCAGAGGGGCGCGAAAACCGCAAGTCTCTCTTTAAAAACACTACAGTCTCAACCAAAATAGGACACACGGTACAATTAAATTTTATAATTTGCAAACATCGTTATGGGCCGCAGGTTTCAAAACGGCGGGTCGCATGTTTGATATGCCTGGTCTAGAGGCTAATCGGTAGATAATACTTTCAGTTACAAATCAGAAACAGTAATTCAAGTCTTCAGGTGCAAATTAATTTGTATGTAGTGTTAGGAGTAAAGCATGCATCACTTGACGGTTATCCAAATTCGATGTAGGTATTTATTCCCAAACGGATGCCGACGTTGGAGTAAGGTTCAATGGAGAAATAAATATAGGCAAAGAAAAAACGAGGAGAAAATGATGAGAGAAGACAAAGACAAAAACCCCAAAGAGTAGAACATTTTTTTCACAAGTACCCACCATGACAGCGCACAATCTTCTCTGAAAAAGAACAAGTACAGCTTGTACGTACGCCAAGATTAAAAAATAAGAAATAGAATTTAAATGCAGAAAGGTACATGGCGTGACCTCTAATGACAGAGAAAGGTACTCAAGTAAAGGAATTAAATTAAATTAAATTAAATTTCCTTTTATTGCCCAACAGAAAAACAAACATTCCAATTACAGGAGAATATGACGTTACAAATAATAAAGTGTGCAAAAGTGAAATAATAGCTTAAATCTTAATATAATAATACCTTATTGTTCTACATAACGAAACAACCAAAAACAAAACAAAAGAAAATTAATAAAATGAAAAACTATGAATGCATTGTATGGTATTGTACAATCAACAATCGCTTTAACTCCCTAAGGGTGTGAAAATTTATATCACCTAACCGAGAAATTTTGTTGAATGTACTGCACATGTGAAACATCGGCGACTTTAACATTAAATTAGTACGGTTGCTCTTACAATAAAAGGTAACAACATGGGCATGAAGTGGAACCGAAAATTTGATCAGACATCAACTCAATGCTTACTCACTTTATTCGACACTATATTGTATAGAAAGCTATAACGCTCGTCTAACTACATCTGAACTGAACGGATTTACAGACAAATTGTATATATGGTATGAAGGGCCTAAATGGAATAAATTTAAATGATGACTGCGTTTACTTGAGGATACTAAAGGTTTTAAGACTTACGACCTCAAGAATAACAGATCCCAAAGAATCGAAGGATCAAAATAATGTTGAAAGCTTGATAAGTTGTTAAAGTCTGTTAATGATAATTAAAGTTCTTAAAACACTCATGCGGGCTATTAAAACTCTGGCAGACCCTTGAAAACCTAGTAGTATCAAAGAGTCCTATATTCTCATTCTTAAATCTTTATCAAACCCTTGAAGGCTCTTAAAGGTTATGAAAAGCATTTAAGCCTCAGAAAACCTGCTAATGGTTGAGCTCTTATGGACTAAGTGTTCTAAAGTTTTAAAATACTACAGGAATCAAGGAATTTTTGAGATTAGTGGCAACTTGACTGATTCATAAAACCACTTAAAAAAAGGGTCAACCTTTACTAAAGACACTAAGAGAGATTCTTGTAGAGGACACATTAGGTGATTAAAGGCTCTTAAACACAAATATCTCTTAAAAGCTCTTGATGACTCGTGAAACCTCTTGACGGCTTTGAAAGAATAACAGTCTTTAGAGCGCTTTTACTCTTACTCTTACTCTCGAAAACTTTTGAAGCATTTTGAGTAGTGACATTAAACGATTAAATACTGGTACAGACTCTAGAGTAATGTAGCACACTTTAGAAAACTGTAGGAGAGCTTTGAACGCCTTGAAGCAGCCGAATGCTTTTAAAACGTCCTAGGGTTCCCTTATGAAGACGTGATTGCTTAGAATTTTCGTGCCTTAGTGTACATAAAAAGGTAAATAAAATGTGGAGGTAGAGGACGACGGAAAACGAGTAGAGACAGTGATCGCAATAGCGGATCTAATAGTGTTGGAAAAATTCGCCATTGCACATTTCCGAAGTAGGTGGTCGTCTACGCTCGACTACAGCATCGAGGTTCCTTGGTTCGAATCCGCGCTCGGGAATTGATTTTTGTTAGTGTAAAGCGGGTTTAGTCACAGCCTTGACTGAATCCCCGCCCACTTAATAAGGGCAAATAAAAACCCCTTTATTAACTGGACTGAAAACGAACGCGCTGGTGAAGTATGGTGGTAATTCACCTTATACCACCTCCATGTCAGATATTTTATTCTTTATTCTTCTCGTATGCGATTTGTGGTTTCCTAAACTCCTAAAACACTAAATAGGTATCAGTATCAGTTGTCCTGGTAAAGTAGTTAAATTCTTTAGCGTAAACACGTAGGTACCTACGCGGTATCTGCGTTCATGGATACACGTGCAATGACCGCGGTGGGTGTAATCTCGGAAAACGGATTTAAATCAAATGAGCCATTACGCCTTTGAGCTTAGAAAGCCCACCGTCAATTTGTTTATTGAAAATGATTAACGCCTCTTCATTTTATATACTGCCCTAGGATAGTCTCATAATTTCAAGCATCACGTCATTGAGAGATCCTTTACACCTCTAGGTCAGGAATCAAAAACAAGTTCATTAACGCACTTATTGTATTTGTTCGTGCCGGTCACGGTCGCTACCAGATTTTCGGTGCTCTCGCGCCATGAAGGTAACATCTTTTTTAATTGCAGGTGGAATTTGAAGCCTCATTAGAACATCCCTTTTTTGTATATGGTCAAGGTTGGGCGTCGTGCGCACCAGACCGTACGCTGCAAATCTACGGCTTAAAAGTCCATCGTTTGCAAGTAGGAGATATCTTAATATCGTTGACGCCGCGTGAGGCTACAAGTTTACCTGCATCGACGCGCGGATCGACCATCATCACCACGGCGACGACGACGGCCGTAACGGCGCGCCAGGTGTCATCGACGGCCGAGGCCGCGGTGCACTCGTATCACGTGCTGAATCCCGGCCATCCGGTGTCGTCGGGGGTTAGTTTTTCGCAGCAGAGCAACGTCTTACAGACAGTTTCGTCTGATTGTAGTAATTCTAAGAAAAGGAGATGGTCGGCTCCAGATCAAATCTGTGATGAAAATGAACAAAACGTTAGGAGAGTTAAAACCTAATGCTTAGGTAGGTATTTGTGAAACAAATTTGTAGTAATTCTAAGTTTGTGAAAGATATAGTTTATCAAAAGAGAAAAAAGTGCAGCTTATTTGTATACTAATTAAACTGTACTATTATAGTAACTGGAGCTAGAAGTATGACACTGTTTTATCTAGGCAGAAATTGTCTTGGTAAAAGGTTTTAACGGATTGTTTACAGGTGTCATTCAAAAGAATTGGTTAAGTTTTCTATTACTTCACCTTAGATTTGTGATAAATAATTTTGATAAACTAAATTTTTAGTAAGGCATATAAAAATTAGAAAACCTGTAGCGTGGTTGATGGTCCATGTCATTTTATGGAACGTCCCAAACAAAATTCGTGTGGAAAATGTACTATTTTTTCTAATGCCTCTTTTGCAAGAAAGTACAAAGTGTTAGGCCCATATTTGGAATGAAATGTTGGTAGATTTCAATTAATATTCTAAAACAGTTTTAAATAGTGCCTCCAGCCATTTAGATTTACCTAAGAATTTTTTATCTCAAGCGATTTTCATACACCATAAGAAAAAATGCAGAAGTTTTGTAGTAATTCCTATGACTAAATTCCCATTTTCGGACACTGCAAGGTAAATTGAAATGGCAACAAAATAGACGTTCCATGTACTTGACATGTTCTCCAAAAATTGTACAGACTGTTATCCATTGTTCTTCTCTTGGTTTTCGTACCAACCAAATGGAATGTAAATACTAGAATTTAATGACAATATTAGGAAGACTAGACAAGAGGATGTATAGGAAATGTGTGAATCGTTCCAGGCTGCAGGTATACGTAAACATGTTTCAAGAACGAATCGAGTATTAATGACGAGTGATATATCTAACGCAAACAATTTAACTATCAGAAGTTTTATTTGTTATACGTAAAGGAGTTTGTGGCATGGAATTGAATCTGCCACTGCCGATCTCAAGGGATTCGTGTGATAGAACTGCTTTTAATGTTTTTCACAAAGATCTGTATTTTATTAATTTACTGTGTATTTTCATAAATTGATACATGCACGAACTGATTTATATATAGCATAGCGTTTGTTACTTATGTAGAAATGTTGAGAATATTTAGAAGTCGCCCTAGTGATCGATCAAAATATTCTTTATGCTTTTTAATGTTGTATATTTTAATTTCCATGTGAATTCTTGGCTGTGATACAGTAAAGTATGTGGTATGAGCGACGCTTCCCTCCATGTTTCTGTCATAAAATTTGTGTGTAAGGAATCTAAAAAACTGCCCTTCCCTTCTCATTTTTATTTGTTATAGGTAGTTACTTTAAAGAAATTTTAGTCTGGAGTGCAATAATTTTTTCTTAACATTTAGGGACCGTTGGAAAAAATGCAATATTAAATTATAGAAAAAAAACATGTTGGAGAGAAAGGAAGGTTCAGTTCGTTAATTTCCAAAAACATTGTATGTTGCCAATTATTACCTCAATGTACACTAATTAATAAAGACATGTAGGAAAGGATTGTTATGTAGATAGACGTTTTGACAGTGACATGCGGCGTTGTTCATTTAAGCAGATTACAGAGGTCTGACAATCGCTGTTTAGCCATAATATTATATTAATTATATACATATTGTTATGTATAGTTGTTTTATACTGACACAAATAACTATTTTCCGTTAATACAAAAAATAAAAATTATACTATATAAATACATATATTCATTATGTAATACACAGTCCAATATTTGTCAAATGTTCATAAGATAACAAGACAATGTATAAAAATAATTTGACCTACTTCAAAATATACTTTTATGTATGACTTGTTATTACTTATTTCTCCATAATTGCCATTCAAACTAAACAAGTACAATTTAATTAAGACCTCGTTTTGAAATATCAATAAAGAAAAATCAGGGTCCATTTTTAGAGCAAAGAACGTTTGTATATCGACAAGTTAATAGGCACCTCGTACACTATCGATTTTGGATGTGATTTTCAAGGGCTTGTAGTGTGTTTAACCCAGAGGTTCTATGCTAACTTAACACTACAAAAACACGGAAATAAAGTCAACCCAGCAACGTTTAAAAATGGCCACCCAAATGACTATTCCCTCCAAAACTAAACAAGATCTCCCTTAAATTTGAAAAGTGACACGTGATCCAACATCAAAGGCAGGGCCCCCTTACGTTAGTTGTAAACAACGCTATGACCTGAAGCACAGTAGGGAAGGAATGTAAAATAAAACACTCAAATGGTGAAAAGTTTGTTTAATAATGATCGCAATTATTATTGATTGTAAAAGCTCGGAAATTTAAGTCGAAATAAATTACATTGCAAAAATAAACTTTGAAAATGGTAGTTTACTGAATAAAAGTAGAAACAGGCAGGGGAAAAAAAGACTTACCAATAAAAAAAACCAGCCGTATAATTAATATTAAATTGTGTAGTAAAATTAATTGTTAGTACTGATGTGAATGCGTAACATAAAATTATAGCAACATAAAAAGTAGCATGTAGACTTCAAGAGGTAACATAGAGGTTAAGAACAAGTTTTGGGAATTTTGGGTCAAGTAAGCAGGTACCAAGATTCTAAAAAAGGGTGAAATACACAGGATGTGACTCATTTTTGTCGCAATAAAGTCCTTTTGTTAAAAGGAAAATTACATGGCCTTGTAGGCAAATACAACTAAAAACAAAATATGTGGAAATTACGAATCGTAACTCATTTATCGCACACGGATTCTAAACTGAAGAGCTTTGATTAGCGCAATCCCGCTCCGGTAAGATAGGTAACCCGCCCCTGGTTTCGAGCCTACACGGAATTACGTGTCGTAGCTCAATTTTGACTACAGATTTTACCACCCCCGTGACTACTTCATTCACGGAGAAAATTGTTAGTTACAAACAACCAGCCAGTACATACATCAAACAACTCCGTAATTTCCACATATTAAAATCACATGATCAAAACTTATATGAATGTTACTTCAGGGACAAGACCAAGTAATCAACATCAATAACTATAAATTAAGCAGACACATTACACCAAAAACGTAAACAATTACTAACAAAAGGATAACGGTATTAAACATTTCATTCTGCATTGCGGTTAAACCAAGTAAATTTCGAAAACAAAGATTGAAAAATACAAAAAGTATAAAAAGCGGCATACAAAACACAAATACGATATAAAGAAATGCAAAAATTACTATCTGCATTAAATAACACAAAATAACAACAAACATTTATGGAGCGACGAGTTCATGACCGCCATTCAAAACAGGATGCCAAACGTATGTAGACCTCCGTTCGTGCTTTCTAGATGACGCAGCAGCTTTTCCCTAAGACTTTACCCACCTAGGAATTGCATGGTTGCTAACTCTCAAAAATGTATGTATCGTCGTTGTATATACAGAGTGGAACCTCTCAGGCTTGTTTTCCATTTTTTGTATTGAACCTAATTTCCAATTTTTAGTAGATCAAAGCACGTGAGATATGTATTCCAAAATTAGAAGATTCGAACTCCCAAGCCAAAATAACGAGTTGCAAGTTGTATACACCATGTGGTGGTCACAATCAATTCCAAATTGACAGTAGTTATACCCATAAAACGCCCTCAGTGCCTGCTGAGAACTCAGTTACTACACAACGTAGGTGTCCTACATGACGATCACGATCTTAGTGCATTCGGAGTGGCCCCCGAGTGACAGATTCTCGCGGGAAACTTATGTGAGAATATTCAAATAGGCAGCCATGTTAGTTTGGCATTCCCAATACTACAGAACATGGTCAAATATTCCGGTGTTACTTGAAGTTAGCGTTAGCCCGCCAAGATAGTAGGAGGCTAAGATCATTACAAATGATTAAGGTATAACAAAATATTCCAATATAAGCCGTACTTTACACTTAAGCCGGTTACAAGAAAAATAGCCTGAACACATTCTCTGCATCGTATTTATTAACCTCCCCAAGCGACGCTGTAACTTGATCTATTAAACACCCCTAAAAATCACCCGTAAACCGCCCATTCCCTGCATTTCACACATTTCTAGGAAAAAACTGGACTGCAGGTGTTTGAAATGGTAAACACGTGGTCTTCCGAGAAATTCCATCCGTCTCATCTTCGCTCTCTTTCCCTTTTCTGTAATCCCTCCAGATTTCGGTTGGCAGCTTGTGTAACGAACATGATGTATAGGGTGCTTCGTATCGACAATCATATTCAAAGGATGTTGCTAAGGTTGGGGCATCTCAACATAAAGTAAGGTTTTGCATTAACTGTGGCACCATTTCTACAAAATGACGTAGAAGGTACACAAATGACAAGCGCGGCGCCAGAAGTGCGGGTATAACATTAGAAAATTGTGGCATCTTTTGCACTGGTGCCACAATTGGGTGAGGTGTCACAATTTGGGCCATCACGAGTTGCCACAGTTAATGTAGTGCACACAGGCATACTTACATGGTGTCTTGTGAGGCCATTTTGACTTAATGTCTTACTTGCGAGGGCTATGTCAAGAAATAAGAATTCAGTGGAATTTTTAGTATGTAACCAACTCCCACATCCCATCACTCACTTCCCAATGAAAATCGAGGAGAGGAAACGGAGGTACGTGAAATCTGCGTTTTATAAAGTTTGTTCCAAAAATGGACCAATCGGAGCCCATTAACTGAATCAGTCGATTGAACAGTGGTCCTCAATCAAAAATGATATTACAGTGATAGTTATAACCAATAATACAGTCTTCATTTATATCGGTAAGATTTATTATTGTCGAAATTTCGACTTCTGAAATAAAACAGTCAACAAATAAAGGAGAGGTCAGGTACAAACAGAATTGTATGGTTATTCTTCTCTTTGATATTTTGCAAATGTAAGAAACACTTGCTCCAATGTACATTGGCCTAACGAGTAATCTTCGATGTCAAAAGCAGTTTTTGCGCGTTCCATTATACCAAACATCTTTGACCATGGACGCGACTTATCGGTAATATAAAATGTCAACAATTCCTGGTGTTTTTCCCTCAAAATAGTTTCGGGGAAGTTTTGTTTGATAAAATTTTCTATTTGTTCGATCGCCGCTTGTCGCAACTCTTCGTTGTCTAACTGCTTAACTTTCAATGTTAAAGTGTAACCGTCGGAGAATTTACTTTTCAAATGTTGCGTTGAGCCCAAACACTTGATCCTGCCATTTACCATAATCGCCATTCGAGTGCAGAGAGCCTCGCATTCCTCCATGCTGTGCGATGTCAACACAATCGTCTTCCCTCTGTCTCTAATTTTACACAGCGCATTCCAAAGGTAGCGCTTGGTGGCGGGATCTACACCGGCAGTTGGTTCGTCGAGGTATAGTACCAGAGGGTCTCCGACTAGTGCCAATGCGGTGCTTAGTTTCCGTTTATTGCCACCGCTCAGTTCTTTTACTTTTTTATCTAAATGTCGGAAAAAGTCAAATTCTTCCGCCAAGTGTTCGGCAAGATCACTACATTGTCTTTTTTTGATTCCGCGTAGCAGGCCGAAAATTGTTAGGGTCTCTCGGCAGGTAAGATCATCAAGCAACGCATCAAACTGTGGACAATACCCAATTACCTGGTACACTTCCTTAAGATTCCTTCTGACACTCCAACCGTTGACCCATACATCTCCCGAAGTCATTTTAATGTCGCCAGTTACCATTTTAAAAGTCGTGGTCTTTCCAGCGCCATTCACTCCCAGTAAACCGAAGCATTCGCATTTGTTTATACCCAATGATATATCATCAACGGCAACCAAGTCTTTGTAACTTTTGGACAGTCGGTGCATAACCAGATTATACTTATTCATGTTTCCGATGCTGACATTGTACGCTACCGCTCTTTGTTCTTCAGATACATCGTCGTCCTCGGTGATATTCGCAGGAATGGGCGAGTGTGAGTTTTTGTGACGACGTCGGCATAGGTTGCCAAGAGCTTCGAAAAAGCCATATTCTATGGCAAACAAGAGGATAAAACAGATGATTCCGAATGAACAGGAGTACAGCAAGTGTTGACCAACGCCCGGGCTCTTCATTGCAAAGTAGGTGGTTGTTTCTGGAACAAGAGATAGTTATATTTGGAAAAACGTTAAGCACAATTTCGATTTACCACAGCATTCTTTGAACTGTAGACACACTAAAATGCCGCATATTTGAGGTGGAATTGTAATATTGGGCAGGAACGGTATAATACCATGCGAAAAGTTGGTACACACATCGGTTGCCGTTTGACATAATTTTCGACTTGTGTGAAGTACGCTCATATCCCTTAAGCCAGAACTCAGGCAGTAGTGAGGCATAATAAGAAATATCTGGTGTAAAGTCTCTGCGATGTCTGTTAATTTAAACGCTTGTATTTTGAGAATTTCAACTATCATGAAACAACCACAGCCTGAAGAGGAGAGGAGTGAATGTGTAAAAATGCCGATGGACTACTTACCAAAAATTATATTGAATAAGCTGAGCCTTGTATACCCCGAAGTTGGTACGTCAAACAGGAATGATGCGAGGTATGTTAATGGTAAGCTGCCAAAACCGAAAGCAAGGAGCAAGGCGAAAACTCGAGCTGTAAAATAAGTGTGTTTAATCACTCAGTAAACCTCTTTTTTGACTTAGGTAATGTATTGGTCTACCTTGATTTATTATACAATTTTGTTTTTACCCCCGGCCAAGTTCTGTCTGTTAAATAAATTTTCTTAGATCGAGTTAAAAAGTTTCTCTTTACAACAGGAAAGTTTTCTTTATTAATACTTCAAGTGTGCATGAGAAAGTGAACGTTTTATGAGTAATATTTTATCGACTTGGCGGCGCCTTGCTATCGCTCTAGAATATTCGCTACAATATGTTTCCAAGACTGATTAAAATGTTATATGTATCTAGTTAGTTTATTAGCGATAATAAGGTGGCGTTAAAAAACGCGTGCGTTAAACAGAGATAGTTGCGTCGGCCTGTTTGCATAGAGTCGCAACAACAGAATGGGTGCTTGCAGTTAGTAAAAAAGCGACGCTGATCGCGAAAGTTGCGTTGGTTCCGGTTTGGCATTGCAGCACGCCAATAGTTGCCAGAGCTATAGCCTTCTGCGAGAAGAAGCTAAGATAGTAAAAAAAAGTTTGACAATTGGTTGTATTGTAAGTGCCATTATAAATAATCGTGCCGGAATGAAGAAATCAATCGTTTGACAAAATGGCGTGCTAAATTTGTAACGAGAAATTAAAATTGTTAATCGCGGAGCGGAGGTAATGTCTCTTTGTGTTAGTGGAGACCTAATAAACATCGAAACGACAATGAGCCCGTATGCACTCAACACTGATTTAATTAATCCTTGCAACTTCCACATGTAATATCCCAAATATGTCTAATTACCTTTGGTGTGTTTACTTATCAATAAATTAATCGATGAGTATAGTCCAAATCATTTGTTGTCTTTTCTTCCCTATTACAAGTGTCTTTCATCGATAAAACTAATTAATAAAAGAACACAACATATTAGCGTATTTTCCTCAAAGTGAAAAATCGCTGCACTTTGACGTCCGTCCGTCCGTATGTCACACGTACTCCTTCTAAACCACTGAACCGATTTTGGCGATATAGGACTCATTTGAAAGGGCTTGGTCCAAGGATTCCGTGCATACCCATATTTTGTGGTTTTGTGCATGCGCACTGCGCAGTGTCAAAAATTTGGTTTAACGCATGTGCAATGCTAACTTTTTTATTTAGGAAGATATTTAAGTGAAACTTTATATGTAAACACTACTAATATAAGTAACATTAACGACATTTACAAAAGGTTGTTTTGCGCATGCGCAATGCCAACTTTCTTATTTATGAAGGCAGTTAAATGAAATTTTATACATAGGCGTTTGGCATAGACAAATCTACCACCAGTTGCAAAATTTGGTTTTGCGCATGCGCAATGGCAACTTTCTTATTTATGAAAGCAGTTAAATGAAATATCATATGTAGGCACCTTGAATGAAACTAAAACTAATACCGGTTTCAAAATTATTGTTAACGCATGCTGTATGTTTTATTTATGAAAGTATTCAATGAAATTTCTAATGTGGACAATGCGCAATGCTATTTACGAAAGCATTTAAAAGCGTTTCATGAAGAGAATGGGGCAGCATTAACTATTTGGAGGAAAATACGCTCTCGTCATTTATGGTTGCATAAGGACCTTTTAACTTGTTTCTACTTACACAGGTCTTCTGCGGAACTAAATCCTTCCTTCTGAAATATGGCTAACGTCACAATGATACATAGCGATGTAAAAATAAAGGTAATAACATCGCATATAAATGACGGAATCCAAAAGGATGAGACATTCGCACCAGAGACAAACTGCAAGTGCTTGAACTTAGCGGATCGCTCACGAATGTAGAACAATATGTAAAACGCCGAGACGAAAGCCATTCCAAAACCCAGGTTGAACGATATTTGAAATCCCATATTGCCGCGAGAGTACAGAGAGGAGAACTGCGAACGTGAGGTATTAATTACATCTTTGAGTAGATTTATGGTTTACCTGTGTACTAATGGTTTGCGGTAATGGCCAATTAAGTACCGAAATGGAGTTATTAGGCGTTACTTCAGATTGTAAAATGGCGTTCATCACCAATTGTAATGCCAATGGGGCGCCGTGGAAAGGTTGGTTACTGAACCAGGCAGTAATGGAGTTGTTTTCTTTGAACGATGCACCGGCGATGTACCGAGTGTTGTAGTTGGCCATATTGTTTTCGGATTCTTCGATCATCTTTTCGGAGAATTCCATATCCGTGACGTTCTCCCAGTTGCGGACAATATATTTATCGTTGGCCAGCATATGGAGGAAGCTCTGTGAGTGAGGACTTGCGTGGTGACGGCTCATTGTAGTGATCGGATTGATATAACGGTTTAATCTGATTCTGATCATAGGTTGATCCGGGGACTTTGATATTTTCATTGCGATGATCACAGTCAGCACCAGAAAGACCACCGGAATGGAATTTTGGATTATAAATAGCAACCAAGATCTTAGAATTGATAGGCCTCGTTTCCTGAACATTGCGTTGATTTGGTTTAACCACAAGGCAAATCCCGTTAAAAACTCGGCGTCTAACTTTTTTTCATTTGTGCCACTTACGTGGAAGCTTACATCGAGGGGAGACGGCTTTGTTTCTTCAGGTGCATTTTTCACTTCGGCTTGGCTATGGTCAGCTCCTACCCTGGAATTGAGGTCATTAGAATAGTGACACGAGTAGTACGCGTATCCCACTTCATAAACACTTCTTCCAAAGTTGTTAGTGACACGCCATAACTGCGCACACCTAAACCGACGCTTTTTTGCTCGAGCTCGCCCAGCATGCTTTCGAAAACGTTGTTGTACGACTCGTTTAGTATGTAGGTTAATTCCGATCCAATATTGCTAGTGGCGGTTATATTCGGTATGTATTTGCCTAAGAGCGCCGTTACAGATTCAATGTTGCATTCAGGCGATTTGTCCAATATTAATTGATAACCGGCGCCGTACTGTTTCTTTAAGAAGAAGCTGGACCCACTACACTCCAATTTGCCACCTGCCATTATAGCGATCCGATCTCCAAGTAAGTCGGCCTCGTCCATAAAGTGAGTGGTTAGTAGTATGGTTCTATCTAGAAGGAATTTGTATTACACTTTTTGTAAGGTTTTTACGGCGTAGTTGTATAAAACTGCTCAATATACGGTAACATTTGATCAACTTGTCTTAGAAAATAGGTACAATCGTTCTCGTTCAGGCGAGTAACGCTCAACTTGTGTGCATTAAGTACAAATTGCATCGATTTTACTCGGTGCAAATACTGGGGTGTTCCCCAACATTTAGTAAGTTTGGTTTCTTATGTTTATATTATAATAATCAAGTACAGAATATCTTTTACCAATAAAATAAAATTAAAATTAAAACCACCCCACGGTGAATTACAGGTGACCGATTTAAGTTCGCTAACCGATTCGCTTTCACGGTTCATTCCAAATTTCCGACTATTTTACTTTTTTGAGTGAATCCCGTTCGGGAATACAAAATTTTTTCACCGATAATAGTCATTTATTATACAAAGACAATAAAGAGATATTTTAACCATTGAGTGAAAGATGTTAATTCGTGAGAGGCGCAGCCACGAGTGAATTAACTTTCACGAGATAGTTAGTTTCCCTTTCTCGGCTTTATCATTGTGTATAATACAAAACTTTACTCAAAATCGTCCTGAAACCTTGATTTTCATGCCTACTTTCTGTCAGGAAATTTGAGTTTCCATAACAGAGGCAGAACAGACTACGTTTTCCGCCGGTTGTCACTTTACTGGTCGCACCTGTTACTGTACCGGCCGCATCGTCACTTTACCGGCCGCATTTGTAACATTTCTAATGTCTATGACTCCTGTCATCACTGGCAGATTGACATTAATCAAAAGTTTTACATACAAATTGAAATGTTATATTGAAATACGATTTCGGGTAAAATTTAATACAAAACTCGTCAGTAAAATGACACTACTTGACTCAGAAATTAAAGTACTCGGCCCCTAAGGGCCTCGCACTTCAATATTTCCTCGCCAGTAGTGTGTCATTTTCCTGACTTTTATGTAAATAAAGTTAAGCTTCTGACCATTCTGAATTTAATTTAGAGATGTCAAAAATAGCAAGCTTAGGTTTTGCCGTCGAGATCGTTTTCATAGTAACAGAATTGTCATATGTTCTGAACGACATTTTATATCGTGCATTTGAAATAAGAATGACAGATGTCATTAGAATGCACAATCATTTGTTTCACTTTATCTATCCTAACGGTTAAAGTGATCACTTTATCTATCCTTAGGGTTAAAGAACGGCTTAGCCTACTCATTCAAACCTATTAAAATGTCAATTTAACATGTGCTATAAAATGAAACTAATTATTTCACCCAATCCATCTATAAATCGACTCAATGTGGAGTCATTTCCCGTTGAAACAGTAAAACTGACGTTACTTAGGAACCTAGATAGCAACGACTGCAAAATAAACAACATCCTACTCTAATCCGAACTAATCACGTCACATCCCGCGACTCACCCACCGGCGCTAACAACTTTCAAAAGTCAGGACCGTATTCAGAACCATCTGCCTCCGAATAAAATCCGTTAATGGACTCCCGTTACAATATTTGGTCATCAACTACGCTTTGTAACATGTTCTACATAATTGTTACGAGGGGCATCACGCGTTCACGGGTTTTTCTCGTTTTTAGCGCATTTCCACAAAAATAAAAATAAAAATGCGGTATTGTGGCCACTTTGTTCGTCCGTCCGTCCGATCGTTCGTTGAGACGCTACTAGTTCTTTATCTTAAGAGCTATTTTTTTACTTCTTTCGCTATTTGGTTCGTTATGATGTCGAGGCTTGCACCAAGGAAGGCATTTTTTCTGCGTTTATTGCTAAAAAAGTTATTGTAAAAAAACCAATAAACCGTTTTTTACATGTTCCATAATTTTACACTTTTGCCGTTGATTAACGATCCTAGAGATCGTTTATAATTTTGTATTGCTGTCTGTCGTCTGTCTGTTGGTCTGTCCGTATTTTCCTTTGTCTGTCTGGCCCTCTATCTGTCCGTGTGAAGGATAACTTGGTTTAGAAATGTCCGATCGCTTTTACATCTCCGTTACTTATGAACTGAATTGCATGCAATTCAATATGGGCATAGCTTTAGCCATATAATATGCAATGCCAAAGGTTGAGTCGAATGGATTCAAAATTCACAGGTGCCCTTTTCGCAGCTCGATCGTTTATAAACCGAATTGCAAACTTTTTCATTTATAAAAGTATTTAAATGAAATTTGATACATAGCCACTTGGAACAAAGGAAAATCTAACGTTAGTTTCAAAATTTAGATTTGCGCATGCGCAGTTCCAACTTTCTTATGTAGAAAAGCATTGAAATGAAATTCATCTTATAAACTGAAACTGAAGTAGCACGTCAAAAATGGATTGCACTTATGCAACGCTATCTTTCATATTTGTGGCCGGATTTTTACCATTTTAACAGAAGTTGCATCATACAAATGGGAAATGAATGCAAGTGGAAATGCGCTTTTTGTAAATCGTTTACGATCACTTTTTTAACTTGTTTATTTTGTTTGCTGTGTTTTGAAGGTGTATTTACAGTAGTAACCATTTTATTCTTTCTTGTACTAAAGAATAAAACTATTTTCATTGAATGCCTTGTACCAATTTGTTATTATTTACATTTTGCATAAAAGTACCGTGGGGTACTAAAGCTTTTGTTTTTGTTTATCTGAATCATGTTTGTTTGATATTGTTATACAGGTGATTATGCCATTATTTTGTATTTTTTATGTACCTATTCATGTGTAACTGGATTATCATTATGAGGTCACCCTGGATGCTTGATCTAAAAATTTATCTTCGGGACAAAAAGGAACCACATGCAGTCCGATTTGTCGCTGTATGTTTCTTGTTTCATCTCGTACAGGCTGCAGAACTGGGGAGTAGGTACCTAATACAGTCCGATCGCTGTTTCTGTTGAATGCTCATCTCGTATGAACCGCAGCTCTTGGCATCTTAGCAATACGAGAATTAAGGAGCCCTCTAATTAACATTTCCTATATTTAAAATACACTATTGGTATTCGCACATGTACTTTTCTTGTTAAATTAATTTATGTTAATTGAGACTGGAGTAGAGTCACTCCATTTTGATGTTTTCCTATGTACAGGGTGAGTCAACGATTGCGCGGAGTAACTTAATGCCTTGAAGATAAGATTTTTCGATAGAGTGCTTTCGTACTATGATATAGTTGAATATTCTCCACATTTTAAAAATATTTGGAATTATACATGGTGCGCCCGCAAAGTAGGGTGCCAAAACTAGTAGTTTTAAAGATAATTCGATTTGTAAGAAAAATTGGGCATTTGCAAGCGTCAGTTTATTGTCAAAATTATTACTTAAATTTTGATTCCAGGTTTTATATCTTTTATCCTGGGTGAAGTAAAAGTCAAATAAATACATCTACTATGAAACATTAAAAAAATAGCTTACAGGGTGTTTTTTTTGGTAGGTCCAAAGTTGCAAAACTTCACATTAAAAACTCTCACTTTTTTTAAATGGAACACCCTGTATATTTTTCCGTCATCTTTTAGCTCTTCCAAAAACCTTCAACTTTTGATAATAATGTCCTATACCTATCTCTGATATTTTTCAAAATATCTTGGTTTTCGTGGTTTTTTTATTCTAGACGTAGAATTACGCGTAGAATTCAAAAATGCATTCAAATACAGGGGGTTCTATTTACAAAATTACCATTTTGGCGCCCTACTTTGTGGGCGCACCCTGTATAATTCCAAATATTTTTAAAATGTGGAGAACATTCAACCATATCATAATATTAAAGTACTCTATCGAAAAATCTTATCTTCAAGGCATTAAGTTACCCCGCGCAATCGTTGACTCACCCTGTACATGCAATTTATCATTTTACGATTTGTTTTGTCTAAATTGAACCGTAGATGTGTTTTATACCCAAATGATTTATTTTGTTTACCAGCTGTAATTATGATGTCATTTATATCTCGATTGATTAATTTGTTTAGCCACATCTGACTTGATTACTTGATTTTCGTTTTTTACTTGCTGGTTCTTTGTTCCCTGGTTTTTCGGTTTGGAATTTGCTCCGCGGAACAAAGCCTCATGCGTAATAAATTTCATTTTCTTATTCCCTTCGGAGGCACTGTCTTTTATTTAATTCCCCTCCCGACTGTGTCTCACGACCCAACACAACACAAAGAACCGATTACACAACGTAGGAGTTCATTCGTACCCTCTTTTATTGGGCCGACTGCTACCGAGAAGCAAAAGTGCCGCGAAACGTCCGTCGTTTCGACTTGAAAGGTAGATGGCTCTGCTCGTACATTTTCTAGAGGTGTCAACTGTAAGTGTACGGGAAGTCAACATTTTCAGTGTCGGATTGGGGAAGTCCCAGAATCATTATGAAGTACTTATAATATAGTCAGATTTTTCGCTGTTGCTGTTGTTTTCTTTCTCGTGCTGACTAAAGCTCTTGTGTCTTGGTATATAGGTATGAGTAGTGATGTTAAATTACACGTTTTTTTAAAAGTGCGTAATATTACGTGTAAAATTACCAATTGCTTATGTTTTTTATGTATTTTATGTAATTTATGTAACTTACCATTTTTTTTTTAAAAAACCGTAATTTTACAGTAAAATTACCAGTAATTTTACAGTAAAATTACCAGTAATTGATGTTTTTTATGTAATTTACAAATATTTTTGTAAAATTACCAGTAATTTATGTTTTTTATGTTTTTTTAATATTCCATAAACCTTTTTGAATTTTGTGAGTGTTTGAAAACAAAAACACTTGTTAAATTATATATTTTGGTGTATTAAATAAAATACCCAAGCAGTAGGTATTTCGCGTATCACGCGTCGTTTGGACATTTAAACAATGGTTTGGAGGAAGAAGTTCCAGATCGCGAATTAGATGCTGTAGCATCTTCATTAAACCAAACTTGATTCAACGGTGAATCGTTTACGTTGGTAGTGCCGTTGATGGTCTGTGGTAGTACCGATCAAAATGTATCAAATAGGTATTACCTCTAATAATCATTTCCTCTATTTATAATATGTTTTGCTTGAGCGGTAATCGACTTTCACATGAATGTACTTACTATAGGTATTCTCAAATGTACTTTTCGTGTTATATTAATTTAATTCGATGCTGGAGTAGAGCTTTTGACGTTATATTTTTTGTACCTACATGCAATTTAACATGTTAGATGCAAATAGCTCGTAGTTTTGCCAACTTAAGTATAGAGTAAGACACAATTGCAGAACCGGATTGGGGGACCCCTAAGACCATTACAATCTATATTTTGCTGATATGGCACGCATATTAGGTTAGTGTACACATTTTTTTGGTTTTTGAGAAAGTAGCAAATCGATCAATTATATTAAACCTGTGACAAAGTGCGCATGTGCGAGTGCGCAGAGTTAGCATGCGAGAGAAGTAAATCTAAATACAATAACAGGAAAGTGCTGGGTCTCAACAGAAGCTAGCGTGCGGACAAGTTAAGCTTCGAAGAAACAAACCCATTTTTAAAAATTAAGTTTAAATAAGAATTAAATCAGCTTTGTACAAATTGCACTTGCTTAATCTGCTATTGGAACATAAGTGAGAGTGACAAAGCACAACTTCAAGTGCAAGATAATGCGTTTTATTAATAACAGATAAAGATAAACACGAATTCTTTTTAACGTCTTCTTACCTTTCTTTTGCTTCAACAACAAATCCCACAACGCTCGTCTAGCTGACGGATCCATTCCAGCCGTTGGCTCATCACACATAACCACCCGGGAGTTACCGCATAGGGCCACACCGACAGATAGCTTCCTTTTCATTCCTCCAGACAGTTGACCAGCAAGCGTTTTGGTCTAAAATCCATGTGAAGTTCTCGTTATGCAAACCACGCTTACCTTGTCTGTGAGTTTTAACAACCCTATGTATTTTTCGATTTCTTTATTAACCTCTGTCCGTGTCACCCCCTTTAACTTGCTATAAAAATAGAGATGCTCCTCAACGGTTAGTTCATCAAAGAGAATGTTGTGCTGTGGACATATCCCAAGACTGTTGCGGACCCCTTTGATATTGTTTCTAATGTCGTAACCTCCTATCGTTGCAGTTCCACTGGTGGGTGGTATCATTCCGGTTAACATTGACATTAGAGTAGTTTTACCTGCGCCGTTATGACCCAACAGCACTGTAATTTGATCCCTGTACATGTTAAGAGAAAACCCGTCGACGGCTACTTTTTTATTCGAATATACTTTTCCTATCGCCTTAATTTGGATACCAGGGTGCAGATGCGTAGGTTCCTTTTCGTGGTTTGCATTCGGACTTAGAGGTTTACATTCTTGGTAACTTTCTACAGACAACGTTTTGAATTAATAATATGCACACTCTACAAGTCTACACTTACCGCAAACCGAAGATCCAAACCAATAGGAAGGAAGGAACGGAAAGTACCACGGTTGCGCTATACCGTAGTCACCTGGGAAAACCGATTCCACATAAAGCGCTATCAGAAGGTACAGCACCGCGTCAATTGCAAGCATAATTAGGACGTATCCAAACAGGAGATCATCTCCTTGAACGTGTGTCCAAATGGTATACCATTGCAAACCTATCTCGGCACTTTCCATTTTGACGATCAATTTCATGCCTAACGCCAAGGCGGAATTGGAACACAATGACGCGAGTAATTTTTCCGCCAGTGAGAGTTCGTCGTATTTGTACTGAAAGGCCATATATGGTGCATACAACATAAACCAAGCAATACCGGCGAAAGTGGCCGCCGTGTTGGCTAAAAAGTGTTGTCAGTTGGCAAAGTTCAAGAGCACTCACTATACCTTTAGAAAACATCGCACTCACAGCAAAACTAAACGTGATCAACGAGCACGCGAACAACACCAAGAAGATGAACAGTATGATTGGGTTTGAAAATGTAAATATAGTGAATTCAGTGCCAGGATACCAAGGAGCTTTTAATAAGGCGACCATTAATATTAAAGATATCAGCATCATGATTAAAGACTTGCAAAACCACGCTGTCCAATGCAACCAGTTTGGCAATCCCATAATTTTCATGGCTTCCTAAACGTAATGGACGAAGTTAAACATACCGTTACGCCTCTTGACTTACCTTCAGCTGCTTCTCTTTCTCAGTAGCAATAATCCTGACGGTATTTATACACGGATATACGAAACTGACCATAAATACAATTCCAATGAAGATGTCAAGCGACGACAGCAATAAATCAGTTGTGTATTTAGGATATGGAAATCTCTGCATAAAGATCGGAGTCGATGATCGATTGTAAGAGGTTCCATTGATGGTTTCCTTGTAGTGATTTATAACTGACAAAGATAGTTGTTCTTGGAGCATTAGAAAACCTTCATCGCGGTAGCTTGGTGGTCCACCCTCGTTGAGCGTCGGCGATCTTAGGCCAGGGGTGTAGTAAACTGGAAATATCTCATCCGTTTTCCAGCTCATAAACTGACCAACTTCTCCTGGAAACCTAAGAAAGACAACGTATTAAAATAATGGATTGAAGCATTTGTTTTTATAGGAAAAAAACCCAACTCACGAGGGTTGGTTAGTTATAACAAGAGTTAGTTTGCCCTTACATTTGATTTTAACCACCAAATTTTATGCACTAAAAACCAATGCCTACGTGACTAACAGCGCGTGTCTCCGATAAAGTTTCCATTTCATTCACCGCAGGAGGACTATGTAACGGTACATTCAGCTACGGTTCAACATTTTTTAGCGCATTTCCAGAAAAATATAAATAATAAAAAAAATTCGCTATTGTGGCTACCTACTTTGTCCGTCCGTCCGTTCGTCCGCTCGTTCGTTGAGACGCTACTAGTTCTTCTTAAGAGCTATTGTTCTACTTTTTTCGCTATTTGGTTCGTTATGGTGTCGAGGCTTACACCAAGGAAGGAATTTTTTTGCGTTTATTGCTAAACAAGTTATTGTAAAAAATCCAAAAAACCGTTTTTTACATGTTCTATAATTTTACACTTTTGCCGTTTATTAACGATCCTAGAGATCGTTTATAATTTTGTATTGCTGTCTGTCGTCTGTCTGTTGGTCTGTCCGTCTGTTCCTTTGTCTGTCTGTCCCTCTATCTGTCCGTGTGAACGATAACTTTGTTTAGAAATGTCCGATCGCTTTGACATCTCCGTTAGTTATGAACTGAATTGGATGAAATTCAATATGGGCATAGCTTTAGCCATATAATACGCAATGCCAAAAGTTGAGTCGGATCGATTCAAAATTCACAGTGCCCTTTTCGCATCTCGACTATTTATAAACCGAATTGCTAACTTTTTTATTTATAAAAGTATTTGAATGAAATTTGATATATAGGCACTTGGAATAAATGAAAATCTAACGCCAGTTTCAAAATTTGCTTTTGCGCATGCGCAGTGCTAACTTTTTTATTTATGGAAGAATTTAAACGACATTTGATACATAGACACTTGGAATGAAGGAAAATCTAACGTTAGTTTCAAAATTTAGATTTGCGCATGCGCAGTTCCAACTTTCTTATTTAGAAAAGCATTCAAATGAAATTCTTCTTATAAATTGAAATTGAAGTAGCACGTCAAAAATGGCTCTTTCATATTTGTGACCGGATTTTTACGATTTTAACAGTTGTATCTTACAAATGGGAAATCAATGCAAGTGGAAATGCGCTTTTTGTAAATCGTTTACGATTACTTTTTAACTTGTTTTATTAGTTATTCTATTATGTAAATATGTTCCCCATGTGGGGGCGGTCAAAGAATATTTCTACCGCAGAGACACTGCGTGTCGTAGGAAACGACTAAACACCGGCAAGTCAGTCACAACCCCAGCCCTGAAGTTTTCATGGATTAAGGGCGTTAGTTCTTTGACCAGTTTTTACCGATAATGACTTCTTGCACGATTTATTACGTCTTATACATTAAAGTACCAGGGGGAGAGCTTGTCTGCAGCTTTGGAACCGTGTTGCGTGGGGGTTAGGTTTGAACATGAAATGACTTTTGAGTTAACTATGTAGTCTTTTGAGAAAGGTTTTGGGTTATAGTACGAATATGTAAAATCGCAAAGATATCGTTTTAAATGAAAAGTAGGTGCGTTAAGAATGCGTCGGTTTTCAGCAGAGATGCGGTCACAGATTAGATAAGAACGAGGGCTTGCGATTGGTGAAAAGGGGACGCCGGTCGCAATAGTTGCGGTGGTTCCACTTCGGCATGTCAGTATGGCAATCTAGGAATAGAAACGAGCATCAGTCGCCCTTGCGGATAGTCGTCTGCGAGAATTTTTAATCTCGGAATAAAGAGCTATTGTACGCCGTTAAGCATAAAGAGCGTATAAAGCCTCGATTCTGAAGAGAGTTAAGCGCCGTATAAATCAGCTTGTCGAGCGCAATGAAAAAATCGATTGGTTGACAAAATTGTGTGCCAAGTTTGTGATGCAGAATAAACATTGTTGTTGTAGTATCTATTTGTGTTGGTGGAGACCCGCGAAAAAATATGTGTAGGTACGTGAAAATAAAATCGCGATAAACTCTCCCAAACAGCGCGCAAACGTTGAAGCATGGGTTTATTTTATCTATTTAACCTGAGACAATCTGAGCATCCATTGGTCAACCTGTGTTGGGGTTTTTCCATTTTTCGTAAAGAAACTGCGCATACCAAAGAACGTTAGCCTTGTCCTAGACCTAGGGGAATTTTCCACTGCGCAGGAATTTCCAGATCTCGACATTTCCAAATAATACGGAGTAAAAAGGTATTGTTATCATTAAAAAACCGTAAATTATTACGCTAATAATTAAGTTTCCTAGAATTTTTGTGTGTATTTTAACTGAACTTAACTGGGGAAGTTATTTGTGTCCATGAACATAGCAGAGCAAGGTCGGCACAACACAATCAAACATATTGCATAATTAGGTGCTAATTATGTGCCCTATCCCCGAATTAAATGCTGCTTATAAGCGCAAGTCACATTTATGTTGCCCTGCTCTGATCATTTTTATGAAATGTGTTGAAATGGGCTTCACTACGCTGTACCATTTTATCTTTGTACGTCGTCGAGTCAATATGTATTTCTACATTTCAATAAATACACTCTCAAAAGATCTTCGCTTCTCTTCATTTTGCGATCCGCGACTTAAAACATGTAGGTATAAAAGTAGGATAAAAATATCAAGAATTCAAGATTTCTATAATTTTACATTTATTCTATACAACATGTGAAAATTGACTGGGAATTAAAAAGCTATTTAAGCAAAATATACTAAAGATATTATTAAAAACTTAATTCTTGAATATTGTCTTAAGATCAAATGAAATTAAAAATTAGTAACTGCGAAATAAATTGTTTATGGGGCTCATTTGAAAGGGCTTGGTTCAAGGATCCCGTGCATACCCAATTTTGTGGTTTTGCGCATGCGCAGTGTCAAAAATTTCGTTTAACGCATGTGCGATGCTTTTTTATTTATGAAGATATTTAAATGAAACTATGAATATAAGTAAAACTGACAACGTTGTAAAAATATTGTTTTGCGCATGCAAACTATTACCGGATTCAAAATTTCTTTTTTGTACTCCATGGACTAAATGAACGTGTTTTGTCATTCGTTTAAGCGTCTAAAGTGTCACTTTTTCTCCCATAAGGATTAAAATGCAAATGAGGGACGAAAAGTGACAGTACACAACATCTTTTTGAATTTGGGAGGCAGTAATTTCCTCATAACGTTCAATTTACATGAACCTGGGAGAACACTTCACTTTTCATTTTCTTGGGTTTAAAGGTAGTGTTCTGCTGAGAACATATGAACCTGGCAGAACATGTAATAATTAAAAAAAAAAGGAGCATTTAATTCGGGAATAGGAGACTTAATTAGCACCTAATTAAGCAATATATTTGATTGTGTTCTGCTGACCTTGCTTTGCTAGGTTCATGGACATAAGTTATTTAATTGTTGAGATTTATTATCGTCATATTAGAGTTTCATTTTATGAACTTGTATTATTCTCATTTCAGCTTACCGATGTTTTTTCGCATTATGAGTAAGATTAAAATTTCAACATAATTAGGAGCAGTAGAAGCACAAACAATTAAGTCGGTAACTAGTGGATTTAATTTTTAAGGATGAGGACGACAGCTGCCGACATCCACCGGAGCAATTTTACAAGACTAATTACAGGGTGTTTACAATTAATATACTTTCTATGTGATCAATTTCGATTTTTGTTACAGAGTGAGCGAAGTAAATCAACCTCCTGTTTTTTTGCTAATACGCTAGCGAAGTTAAAGACAAACAAATGCGAAAAGTTTAAACGCGCGAATTAAAGTTTTGTTGACCATCATTCACAGGAGATAATGTGCTACGGTAAATATGAACAATAAAGAAAGTTTTAAAAGCGCCAAATTCAATTTTGAGAAGACAAACGTACGTCATCCTTGATTTGCCGGAAGCAGAGTAGGTGTCAATAACGTATTGAGCAACCCCTTCGCTATCCGAAGAAACCTCAGAATCAGAATCGCTCATATTGATAACAGCCCTGTGATGTATCACTAACGTTAAACTTAACGTGCAAGTTTTCTGTAGAAAACGTTATTTTGCCCATACACAAAATAACATTTTTTGATAGATAACCTGCACGTTAAGTTTGATACAATTTGGAATTTTAATTTACGAAAACGTTATCTAAGTGCGGTTAAAATGTATTTGAACCGTCGTAGATTAAATATGAAATAATACACGTTCTATGTGAACGTTATGTATAACTAATAACGTTACACGCGTTTCATTATAATGTTCATACCGAACGTACTATTAAAACGTTTGATTTATGGAATTTCATGTTGTAATTCGTCGCACGTCAGAAGCGGTCGATTGTGCGCAAATAATACTTTATCTGCATTTGCTGTCAGCTTACCGACCGTAAAATTTGAACTCCCAATCAAAGGTACCATTCATTATACGAGACCTAGAAATTTGCATCAATTTTCTTTTTCAATAGTTGAATCAGTCAGTATTTCGAGATTGAATGAGCAAGGGATATCTCCATTAGCTGTATAATTATACTAACCATCCATTTGGGGTGTTTGAAATTTAGATTTTTTTATCACTTCAATGGTAAGGGAGAATAGAGGGCCCATCTAGAGGAATGTAACTTTTTCATTTAATTTATTACCAACTAACAAGAATCCTCCATCTTGGTTCAATTCATTATTAAGATTGTAAATCACTAGGAAAGGGAATAGTAGTCAGTTTAGTTGAAAAAGTTACCACTTCAATCAATTCGTACAACCTTAGTACTTGACAACAAACCACATATACATACAATTGTCTGGTAAAAGCTAAACATTAAAACAGTGTAAAAGGTAGACTTACACAAAAAAATTCAAAGCAAAACAAAGTATAATGCAGGAAAAACGTAAAACCAACAAATATTCCAATGATTTAAAGAAAAGATGGAAGACAAAAAATAAATTATGCACACATTCACACAACATCGAAAAAGTGGGTGGAAATTGGCAAAAAAATAGAGAGTAGAGGTAGCAAATAAAGGAAAAACGTGGAAAAAGCCAAAGAGGAGAGAATAAAAATGCCGAACCGACAAAATGAATACAGAAGAAAGGTGTAGAATCAGAGGAGACTGAAAATCGAAAAAAATTTTAAAAACAAAAAGTTAAAACAACTTTGAAGGAACTAAAAGATAAAGCCCGTTTAAAAGCAGTAGGGTCATATTTTATTAAAGTAAGATGGCAAGTTACTAGGATAAGCAGATGAGAAACTCAATAGATCACGGGAAGATTCTGAAGAAATTTTAAGTGAGTATGTGAAAGAACGAAACCGTGCCAAGATGATTAGATTGAAGTACAGCTGCTGATAAACAAAAATTGACTGATGCTCTGATCTGTATTATACCTGAAAAAGGGGAAAAGGCCGAATGCAAAAAGTACCGAGGTAGGCAGATAGGTATAAAATTGCAAGACAGTTCATGATTATTCATCCCTCAGAATTTATAACATAACACTAGCGCATCGATGTCGGAACTAATTTGAAGCACAATTCGATTTGCCTATATAGCGAACAACAATCGTTCTAGAATGTTCTCCGAGTGCTCCCGAATGCTTCCGAATATTCTAAAATAAACACGTCACATTTCCCGGAAAGAATGCGTCACATCGGCTTTGGTTTCTTATCGACGATAAGTAATCTTTCTTGAAGAGAAGAAAGAAATAAAGCATAGACTGGAAGTACATAAGGATGCGATACTTATCAAGAAAGGCCAAAAAACGCTAGTATATACTGTGTCCTGCCATACGTTACGGTGTGAATGTTAGATAGTAACGGAGAGTAGGTTTAAGTATAGTAATTAGGAGATACGGGAAGGAAAAGTATTGAGAATAACATATCGAGGTGTAGCATGAAGACATTTGGAGGAGAAACAAACGAGGAACTAATGCATATGTACAATTCCTTCGCCCTACAACCTTTCTTTCGGCGAGAAACACTTTTACTCAAATTTTGTTATTTTTGGGGGCGGAACCCACCCGAGGCAGAAAACTATTTTTTTTATATACGTACTTCTTCATATTGAAACGTACGGCAGGCACAGTCATTGTGTTTCGGTGGGCTACGTCGGATGTGGTGCGAGGCGAAGTCAAAGTATGTCCAACGATTTGGAAATGTTTAGCGACTACGCGAGGAAAGAACGAGCCCATATTAATGTGATTTACATGAAAAAATGGTATACTAAATTGGTTCTTCGGGCCGAATCAAAAATTAACTTAAATTGGTTTGATGAGAAATCAGTTTTTCAGGCTAGTATTAGCAGAAACTATAAAATCTGACAGCGACTTGATACCATTTGTCAAATATTAAGGACCATACAATACGATTCTAAAAAAATTAACATTTATCATTTGCAAGTACATATTACTACATCACGCATAACACCCCTATCACTCAATTGATTAGGCGTGTGTATTCCGATTAGCTTCTGACACAATCGCTATAGTCAATATGTGAAAAATACCAAAACAAAAAAATCTGTCGATACACGATTAGATAAGGAAATTTTGAAAACGTAATTCATGCTGGAAAGCTTTATCGATTTGTTCGCATATCGATAAGAACAATAGTTGGTATGTACTCACCGCCCGATTGTTTTCATAACTCGTACTTACTTTATTAATTTACCTGAATATAAAGGAAAGGTTCTGCATCATTTCTACATTTCCGGAAAATCTGTCGTCAAAAATCACACCGGCAAACAAATTAAGCCTGAGCCCATTGTGTAATTCGTCGTTCAACGCGTCCGAGTCATCATAACTGACGTGCTTAAAAAACCTCACGTTATTCGCCTCATTCAACCCCTTCACAGTTTCATCCATAATCTTGGTCAAATATGGATTCTTCGGGGACCACATTATTATACTGAAAAGTTTAGATAAATTCTGCAAAAACGGAAAGGTAAACTACTTACGATTTACTGGCCGGTGGACTCCCCGTTTTTGTTTGAAACGGGAGAAAAGACGACGCGGGGTATTGCTCGGGACTAACCAGAGATCGAAAAATCACCAATATTAGCGTGAACACAATGGGTGCCGTAATTTCCACGACGGTTTGCACTGGATGTCTCCATTGCAGTAGCACATTCTTCCACATCAATAGCGCGAATTTTTCGAAATTTTCCCATTTGTACCGTCTCATATTCATGAAGTGTCGCCTTTATTCTAATGCGAAAATTCTTCCACCGACCTTATCATTTCATTATCAGATAAAGTATTGCAGGTATAAGTATCGATAAGCGCGTCGGATCATTTTGATTTACTTCTCATGCGCTCTCTGAACCCCAACCCTATGCCGTTCACCATTTTTAAATGAAAATTGCGAACATGACGCGGATTCTTACACCATAAAACTTCAATAGTAACTAGTTAATTTCAGATCTCTATAGGTAAACATAATTTTCCGGTACACAAAGTATTTTACATAACACACACGTTGCGCTATATGGATAGCTAAACGTTTTTTAAATTACCCAGAATTGTATATAGCAATGATTAGTACCCATTTATATAAAGTACCCTTAATAAAGTATGCCCAGGTCAACGTAATTTATATCAACTTCATTATGGACTTTACAGAATGTGGTCGTTTATCGTTTCTTCTTTTAGAAAATTACTTGACTAATGTTGATAGTTGGACCACGTCTTTTGCAAAACTTTGCAGTAGATACGATTACGAATTTTGTTAATACTCGTCGTTGCCGTTTTAACATAATGTACCCTTAAAATGAAAGGAAAGGACGATTGGTTTACACTTCAGCAAAGAATAACCCTACCAGAGAGGGCACTGCGTATCGTAAGAGGCAACTAAACAACCGCCCAATTCGGTCGAGACCTCACTCTCGTCTTATCGGTTTAGTTATTCATCTTCTAAACCGGTTGCGGTCCTGACCCAGGACATTTCCAGTTGGCCTTCCTCGAGGTTGTAGTCCATTGGTCGTGGTTTTTTTTGAAGCAAGATTTATTTCGAGCACTTTTGAAAATTTTACACTCTTTGTGACGATATTTTTTTTACTGTTTGATCTTGGCTCTTTTAAATTACCATGTGGAACCCCGCTCAAATTACAAATGCGAGTTTTTACCTTTATATAGCAATCTTTACGCCATCTAGGTGATTATCTTGTAACCCATTCGTTAATAATAATTTCTGTAGTGTAGTGTGTTCCCGTAGTAGATTTCTTCTTGCATATCGTTCTTTATTTTCGTATTATAGCTTTCTTTTATAATGTTCGTTCTTTTACCGTTCGATGACGTGCGTTTTTCTCTCATTTCTGTCGGCGCGCGCAGTCTTTGTCGAAAACGCGAGATTCGATTTTTACTTGTAAAGAAGATACACGTCATTAAAGTTACTTGATAATTTTTGTCTGCGATTTTTGGGATATACTGGCGCTGTGTTAGGTTTAGTGAAGTTTCTCTCTTACTTACTTCCAAGCTTTGCTGACACATTTTTGCGGATTTATATTACAAGGTTAAGGCCGTTTACGGTATGTTATCAATTACGCATTATCTTGTTACTTGCTCCTTCTTCCTTCTTACGTTTGATGTTCTCATTGCTTCCGTATTATCTACGTGATTGTGCTGTTAACATCGATACTTCTAAGTGGAAACGTTGAATTTTGGATTTTCGCAATATGGCGCAAGAAAAGTTCCATTCAAATTTCGACACCATTACAAGTCAAAGACGCCATAGATATTTCTACTTTACCGACTGCAGAATTACCCGCCATTTCAAGCGAAATTAAACAACCGAATTTGGTGGTTCTTCTTACATAAAATAATTGTTGTTGGACGCTGGCTAGCTTCAGTCGATGATCCTTTTCTGGCCTTGAGGAAATGGGAAAGGATAAATGAATAAAAATCAAGTCTTTATTAAAACCTATTTCGTTCTTTTTCTCTTAGAAAATCGCCTTTTTGCTGTAAATAACACACGTCAAAAGAAATAGGAGTTGAGGCGGTACGTTTCTGTAAGAGTAGGGCTAACTCATTCATTCACAAAAATTCATTGCATAGAACGGAAAATCTCTCTTTATTACGTTAGTCAAAATTTACTCTAAAACTGCAGAGTACAGAAAGAAACTTAATTCTTGTTTCATAAATTAGTATACAATTAGATTGAAAATCAAAACAAACTGCTGTAAATGCGTGTAGTAACGCCTCCAGGCACGAGTCGTTAAAATGAACACAAACAGTGCTCACAACCACTTATTTGAATGCAACCCTAGTGTGTGATTAAATCGCCTTTACAATAACACAAATTCAAACGACAATGCAATAGTCTACGACGGGGGCGGACAACAAAGACGATAAACTACAACGCGATAATGTTTACTGGACCTTGAACGTCTATTGTTAATGTGCACTAGGATTCGGAGTGCAGTCTTGGTCTCGCTCCGATCGATGTTGAAATCAAATGAATTCAGGACCGCAAGAAGCTATTCCAAGCAGACTGTGCACGGACCGCGCGTAGAACAGAAAATGGAACTGTTCAATCCTCCTAATTTTCTCAGGAGTGCCGAGAAGGATCGTTTTCGCCTTCGATGTAGTGGCTGGATGGAAATGTTTTTGCTTGGTTCTTTCTCTTGATTTTCTTAAAAAAGTCGCCTCAATTCACTATTACGAGAAAATATCGCGCTTATGATTTGCGGGCGCGACTGGCACAGATGTTGCTCCGCGAAAAGACGGCGGGGAACTCTCTCTTAGTACTGGAAATTTCCGTATTTATGCTCTCGTAGTGTTTATCCCGTGCCTCATTTCGGCTTTACGCGCACAATCCACTTTCGTTTATATAGCTAGCGCACCCATGAATAAAGCTATTGCCAATTTGACAGCGGTAGCGTCGTAGCGAACAGACGGATTTAAATCGTTCTACTATAGTCCAGTCAAATTATTATAATACCTACCTTGCATCAGATGTGTCATTTCTATTTTTTGTTTTAAATTGTTAGGCTGAGTATGGATGTCAAAAATTCAAGTTATCGACATCCAAAGACCTGTGCGAGCAATGCAGCGAACACCAGCACAGCCACCAAACTGAAATTTAATTAAGGAAGCCATGTCCGAAAATTTCGAATTTTGCAATGTAGCATTGATTGAAGCATACTCGCAGCGTGCTATTTGTATGGGGTCGTTTATCCATTCGTTGTTTGTTGTTTATCTTCAAATCTTACTCTACACTGAGCTATATAAAAACACTATTCTCAGTAAAAGCAGCATTGTGGAACTATAACGTCCTGTAATCAGTAAGTGAAGGTACAAACACCACCCCCGTAACTTAAAGAAACCTACCTGCATCCATCAGATCATGCTTTTTAAAGATATCGCCCATCCAATACCGTCAAGAGTTTCTTTTATTCTTTTTAGACGCACTAACGATAAAGGTGTTGTAATATTCAACGTCCATTATAACAATTTCGACTTCAAAACCAATATACTTATTTAAAATTCTTGCTTGAGCAATCCTAAGCCTTTCGGATTACATTATCGTCGGTTTTCGTATGCATGTGAATTTTCGACCAATCGGAATACTACTTTCGCATCGTCGGACGATGCCAATGCCCAATGAGAACTAGTCTTTAGCTGGTGGTAGTAGAAACTTCAATGCGATGCGTGCGTTAGCAATGCTGCCACCCGCCACAGTTTTTTTAATGCAAATAGTACTGGTGGCGTTGAGTCAATCACAGAAGTACCTAACTAAATTTTTGATAAACCAAAACAAATTATTAACACATTTATTTATATATAATTGTTAGGTATGGATGGAGATAATTACAAGTTACTCATTAAAATCGAACCAAAACATGAAGAAGAAATCCATTCCTTTCTTGAGGGACACATTTCAGTAAGGAACGAAGTTTTGGTGACAATAAAGGACGATATTACCATTAGTACACAGTGTTCTGAGTCTCTTTACAATGAAGAAGTACAGCGACACCCTGTCTTTAAACGTCGGCTTTTAACTCGGTGTAAAACAGTGTCTAAAAATCTTAAATGTGCAGATTGTGATTATGGGACAAATAATAAAAGCAACTTTAAACAACACCTTTTAAAACATAAAGTTTCTAAGGATTTTAAATGTGCCGATTGTGATTATGAAACTAATTATAAAGGCAACTTTAAACAGCACCTTTTAATACATAAACTCGCAAAGGATTTTAAATGTACTACTTGTGATTATGGGACAAATTGTCAACACCTCTTCAAGCGACATCTTTTAATACATAGAGTCTCGAAGGATTTTAAATGTGCCAATTGTGATTATGGGACAAATGATAAACACAACTTCAAAAAACACCTTTTAAAACATACAATTTCTAAGGATTTTAAATGTGGTACTTGTGATTATGGGACAAATAATAAACACACCTTCAGTCAACATCTTCGAATACATAAAATTTGTAAGGATTTTAAATGTACTGAGTGTGATTATGCGACAAATTATAAAAGCTACTTAAAACGACATCTTTTAAACCATAAAGTTTCGAAGGATTTTAAATGTTCTGATTGCCATTATGAGACAAATTATAAAAGCAACTTCAAACGACATCTTTTACACCATAAAGGTTCTAAGGATTTTAAATGTGCTAATTGTGATTATGAGACAAATAGTAAATACTACATTAAACAACACCTTTTAGAGCATAAAGTTTCAAAGGATTTTAAATGTGCCAATTGTGATTTTGGGACAAAAAGGGAAACCTACTTCAAACAGCACCTTTTAAAACATAAAAGTTAACGAATTTGCAGCACCTTTGTGTTTCATTAGGCTAATCAGACCTTGTTTTAGTTAGGTTAGGACCATAAACGTACTTTAATGTAGTTTAAATTTGTAATTTCCAATTCCATTTCTATAAATGAACTTGATGTGTTTATTGGTGTAATTAAATGTAAAACGACACGTACATATTAGTTATTTATTTCACACAACAGGTATGTGTAGAATTGGTAACGTAAGTTAAATCGTGGATACTGGTCTTATAGGTATAAATCTGGGGATTGAATTGCACCTACCTATTACAATACAATTATCTACACTTGGCCATTTTAAAAGCTAAGCATTGTGGATTTAAAACCAGAAATAGACATCTTTACCGTTTTTAATAGAGTGACATCTCGAGCCATATGAAATGACATAACTATTCGAAATTTTGTGATTGGTTAACCTTCATTCTTCAAGGTCAAATTGCATTTCGGACTAGTCTGAGAAGTAACTACTTTTTGTACCATGGTGATATACTGATTACTCCCGAAATCTCCCATTTTATGAAGGTACTTAATACTGGCAAAATAGCGGCTTATTCAGGTGGTTGGACAAAAATAATATTTAAGCATAGCAGTCATAACCACAGAGTGTTTAGATCTGTGGTCATAACACACCAGATAGTGGAAATGGAATAACTTTCATCGTTGTTTGATGGTTTACTTGAACTCTATTCGCGAAGACCTCTAATGGCAGCACATTGTAATTTATATTGGTGGTAGGTATAAGATAAGACGGCCATTTTGTTTTTTTTATAATGACCAAAAGTAAATAATGTTAGAGGCTGTAAAAGTAAATACTGAGATAATCCACCCTTATGGTTAGACAACACACTTTTACATCTGAAACAAAAATATGATATGCTCTGTATATAACCAATAATCGACCGTTTTGCGCAGATGCCGAATACTAGGGGATGTTGGTAACGAAGCTAGGGGAGAATGAAGAAGATGGCGACCAGAGATTTAGATATATGCCAGAGACTTTTTATAACCATATATCTATGTACAGTGTGTAAAGCGATGGGGTATACAAGAGGAAATTTTTAAAAAAATATTGAATTATGAAAAAAATTTATTCTTCATGATATTTCTTGCTTGCTTTGAAAGTACCAATAAAGTTTCGATTGTTTGTGGTTTGATAGCAATACGCTATCTTGATTATAATGTAGAATGATAACTTTCAATTAAAAAAATTAATTTTATTATTTTTCCAGATTTCTATAAATAAATTTTAGATCATCGAAAAGTTATTGGTACTTTCAAAGCAAGCAAAAAATATCATTAAGAATAAATTTTTTTCATAAATCAATATTTAAAAAAAATTCCCTCTTGTATACTCCATCGCTTTACACACTGTATATGGTTATAACCCTTCTCTTATATATATGGTTATAACTAGACAGCGCGTAACGTAGATTTTACTATAAGCGCCTGTTGTCAAGATAGGATAGGCAAGCAACTGTCAATCGCGGGGCGGAAGTACGTTCTCGCAGCTTGTTTTAGCCTATTTGTAATGATTTAGCCTCCTACTAGCTTGGCGGGCTAACGCCAACTTCAAGTCACACCGGAATATTTGACCATATTCTGTCGTAGCGGAAATGCCAAACTAACATGGCGGCCTATTTGAATGTTCTCGCCAAAGCCGTCTATAATTATAATAATTATAATTACATACTAACTGTACAAGTATCGGTTCCCGTTATCATAACTTCTTGAATAACGTTTCCGGTTCCAAGTTTTTTTTTTCGGTTACAAATACCAGAAATATTAAGTACCTTTGTTTTAAATATTCTGTATTTACATTACTACATTAAAGTCAAATCGACACAATATTTTTTTCTGGTTACGCACATTGGAGATGGCCACATAAGCTGCGGATATAAATAAAACTATAGGTACACTATACTTATAAAACCAACAAATGAATTACACTATTTTTCTCTTTGCTGTCTTGCGAATGTGAGGAATACCTGCTCTAAAGTACATTGTCCTAACGCATAATCTTCGATGTCAAAAACAGTTCTTGCGTGTTCCATAATGCCGAACATTTTTGACCATGGACGAGATTTATCGGTAATATAAAATGTTAGCAGCTCCTGGTGCCTTTCCCTTAAAATGGTTTCTCGAAAACTATCTTTGATAAAATTTTCTATTTCGTCAATCGCCGCTTGTTGCGACTCCTCGTTGTCAAATCGCTTAACTTTTAGTGTTAAAGTGTAACCGTCGGAAAATTTGCTTTTCAGATGTTGAGTTGAACCCAAGCACTTAATCGTTCCGTTCACCATAATCGCCATTCGCGTGCAGAGTGCTTCGCATTCCTCCATGCTGTGCGATGTCAACACAATCGTCTTTCCTCCATCTCTAATTTTACACAGCACATTCCAAAGGTGGCGCTTGGTCGCGGGATCAACACCGGCCGTTGGTTCATCAAGAAATAATACCAGTGGATTTCCGACTAAGGCCAATGCAGTGCTTAGTTTCCTTTTATTACCACCACTAAGTTCCTTAACCTTTTTGTCTAAATGTTTGTGAAAATCAAACTCTTTCGCTAAGTGTTTGGCAAGATGCTTGCATTGGCCTATTCTAACTCCGCGCAGGAGCCCGAATACTGTAAGGGTTTCTCGACAAGTAAGATCGTCAAGTAACGCATCAAATTGTGGACAGTAGCCAATTAACTGGTAAACTTCCTTAGGATGCGTTCTAATGCTCCAACCGTGAACCCATACGTCTCCCGATGTCATCTTAACGTCACCAGTCATCATCTTAAAGATCGTCGTCTTTCCAGCACCATTCACTCCTAACAATCCGAAACATTCGTATCTATGTATGCCCAAAGATATTCCATCGACAACTACCATCTCCTTGTATTTTTTCGAAAGCTGATGCATGGCCAGGTTGTAATTGCAGATGTTCCCTGTACTGACATTGTGCGTTACCGCGCGTTTTTCCTCGCACACATCCGCATCCTCGATCATATTTGCCGGAGTGTACGAGTGTTCTTTTTTACAACGACGAGGAAACGCATTGCAAATGGTTGAGAAAATGCCGTATTCGATTGAAAACAGAATGGCAAAGCACAAAATTCCCACCAAACACGAGTACAGGACCTGTTGTCCGATACCTGGACTTGTCCAGGAAAAGTAGCCCTGTTTGTCTAAAAGAATTTCGTTACATTTGTGTATAGAATTAAATTCGCCGTTACCGCAGCATTCTGGGAACTGGAAACAAACCGCAATGTCACACGTTGAGGCTATTGTACCATTAGGCAGAAACGGCATGCCTTCTATAATGTTGGTGCACATCTCCGTCGCTCTTTGGCATAATTGTAGCGTATCATAGACCACGTGCATGTCTCTCAAGCCCGAGCTGAGGCAGTAGTGAGGCATCACCATAAATATCTGGTGCAGGATTTTTGCGACATTCATTAAGTCCAGCGCCTTGATTTTGAGAATTTCAACTATCATAAAGAATCCACTACCTAGCGAGAGATAGTATAAATTCCAGATGATGAAGAATTGGAAAACGCTCACCAGCAATTATGTTGAACAAGCTAAGCACGGCGTAACCTGATGTGGGCACGTCGAACACGAATGACGCCAGGTAGGTAATTGGTAAGCTACCAAAGCCAAAACTGAGAAGTAAGGCTAACAATCGGGCTGAAAAATGATTGTAAACATATGTAACTATTCACGTGGGCATTTTATGTGCCTATACTATCATATTAAAATGCTATGAAAAAAGTTTAAACCAGTAATGTGTTCCCATAGCTATCTCTTACAGTTTTACTATTAGTATCGAAATTATTAACGATCCTCGAGATCGTTTATAATTTTGTATTGCTGTCTGTCTGTCCGTCTGTCTGTCCGTGTGCACGATAACTTTGTGTAGAGACATCCGACCGCTTTGAAAATTGATACACATGTTCTTCAGTATATAAGAAAGATCGCTATTGTTTTTCGGCTACGTAGTCTAACGGGTCAAAAAGTTACAGCCCAAAAACTGCCCAAACCTCCAAAAAAGGGTTCCTTTTTTTATAATTCTTGTTACAAAGAGCATACCTCAGGTAACTATGCAGATTAAAAAAATTGCGCATACGCAATCCAAATCTTTTTATCTGTTAAGATATTTGAATGAAATTTTGTATGTAGGCACCTCAAATAAAAGTAAAACTGATGCCGATAAAAAAATTTGACTTGTGCATGCGCAATCCGATTTTCTGACATCTCCGTTAGTTATGAACCGAGTTGCATGAAATGTTGTATGTAGGCCTCGAATAAAAGGAAAGCTAATACCGATTCAAAAATTTGTTTTTTCTATTTCGATTTTTAAATGTTCTTATTAACGCACTGTTTTCCGCTCAAAACAGTGCGTTAATGAGACCTATTAACGCACCGTTTTTAAGTTGGTATTAAAGAGGAAAACCTAAATTCACTACCCTATTTGACATTCGATTGTATTTATTTACAAATTAGGGTTATGCTTTGATATACAGAAAGACAAGATTCCCTTTCTATTTGATTAAAAGCGAGACATGTAAGGCTGATAAAGTGTTAATCAAATTACAAGAAGAACAATATGAAAAAACCACTTAATTACTTTCTCCCAAAACTCAAAAGGGAATTAAATATTACGGTATGTAGCGTAAGAACCGAGATATCAACAATGAGGGGCTTTGAGGTAAATTTTTACATTAATGATTAATGCCTCTTTTTGTAGCACGTTCAACATCTACGTGCAATCTGTGACCAATGATTACTAGTACGAATAGTGTACCTATCTTCCAAAAAAGACCTACAGGTTATAAAGGAGATTTCGAATGGGGAAAGGATGACAACGAGGATACCTTCGGAACACATTAAACAATATTTTAAAGAAGCAGCTTATTGCTTTTAGCATTTGTTCTGCGTTATTAATATCGTGAGCCTGATTTGTGTAGTATCGTTATGCTCCTAAGAGGAAGTGACAATCCGAAGCCGAATCCGTCCGAATGAGTGACACCTATCACGTAACAACAACCCACTAAGGACCGATCCGTTAGTGACCGGCAAATCGCACAAAGAAACCTTTGTTTTTCTTTTTATGTCAGTCACCAATATAAGTAGAAGCAGTGTCATACGGGCGAAATCTGTTAGCTGTTAGCTTTGTCGTTAATCGACAGTGACACGACTGAATTTCACATAACTTATATAAAAGGACGAAGGACTGTATTTTGCCTTTATGAATTGTTCCACAGTTAATGTACTAATTTCTGAAGTTTATTAATTAGAACAAAATTGATGAGAGTGTATTTAAATAAGTGAAATATTTGGGACGTCGTACTGCCAACTTAATACAACCTGCACTAATACACCTTCTGTATCAAAATTCCCTAGTTACAAAAAGTTACTATAACATCATTTTGATAAAAATTTCTCGAAAATATCTTCTCAATAGAAAAAATAGTATAAGAAACTTGTTTCATAAGACGCCCCAACGCACTCGTTCATTTGAAAACTCGCCGCGAGCGGCTCATTTTCTAAACTTGAACTCGTGCGTTAAACGCGCCACTTATGAAACTTGTTTCAGCTATGCTGATCTAGTGGGACAGAATCAATCCCTTAAGGTGTGTTGTAAAAATGATGTATGTGCGAAGATCTCGAGGATCGTTCGGTATTCAGTTGTATCGGATTTTTCAACTTGGAACAGGATTGAGGATTTTTTAAATTTTGGGGGCATCCGTCGTTAGCGCCAAGGTGGATAAAGTTCTAGTGGCAATCGATTGGTAATCTTTTTCTAGGAAGCGAATTTTTTTCATGATTCTAGTTCTAGTATGTCGATGACAAGGATATTGAGTTGAGTTAAGTATATAGGTATATAAAAAGTGATCGATTTCGGATTTCAGAACCTATCACCAGGATTTTAACTAAAATACAGGCATCAATAATTTAAATTTTTTCAACATAAACTGGTCAATCCCTCTACACACTTTAAACATGCTCTAAAAGGAACAAGGGTAGGCATCCTACACGACTGAATGCTCCGAGGTAAACCTTATCACAGAAAAGCTTAAAGTACATCAGCAAGCTTCGACGCTATCTTTAACCCAGGTGGGGGAAATGTGTGTGCTCATTCTTAGTTTACCCTTTAAGGTTCTTGTTGTTGATTACCTGCATCGATGATGGCACTGCGCAGTTGCTTTAAATCACTGTATTTAGCCCGAGGTCACGGAGGCGCAACACCTCGTGAACGCCTATTTTTTGGACAGGCCCGATGACCAACATCCAAGTATCCAACAAAAAAGAGAAAAAAACGGCTTAGCACGAGCGAAGAGAGCAGGAGGGCCCGTGTTCATTCATCACAAACAAACACTATAGCTTTAAACGCAGCTGTAAACTGCTCATACAATTTGATAACACCTCGCCACTAACTCAATTTCTAGAGATCTGGTCGCAGAGGCAGTTACCCACATTGACCGTCATGGTCCCTCAACCTACGGACGGGTGGAGTTATATCAGAATTGGTGAGGAAAATTCACCAAACAGTGGAAACAGTAATCTACATGAAATTACTTGTCTAACAAAAACCAAAGAGTTTCCAAAATGCGTCCTGATGGAATGGAACTAGAAAACGTCAAGCGACTGCCAGAAGGCCATTTAACAAGCCCAAAAAGGCAGAAGCGAGATGAACTCTGGAACTGTGGTAATTTCTTTATAGTCAATTACTAGCTCCCGTATAATTATTTTAGAGCAAAAGTCTGAAAAGCGTTTTTTTTCAAAGAAAAAAATACTGCATTTGTTCATACTATTACCACAGATATACGTAAAGACGTATAAACCTCTCGCCAGGAAAGATTGCCGGTCACAGAAGACCTGATCCCGGTCTACAACCTGTGTTTTTCTAAAGATGTGAGCGACTTCGTGCCAATGTTGAACGAAAAGTCTTTTCCTAAAAAAACAGCGATCACGTTTCATTATTTGCCTTTGACTTATATTAAATTTATAAATTTATAAATTGTTTATAAATTAGTGTATCTAAATCGTTTATCATGTATTTAACTGAAGAGAAAGAGGAAATAATAACGTCTTTATTTACTGTGAAGTACCCCAATCGACCGATTCCAAGCAGTAGCACAGTAGACAGAATTGTGCGCAAGTTTCAAAGAACAGTAACAGTGTGAAATCACTGCAAGTGCAATAACGTTCAAAATCTCAGTCAAAACCATCAAGAACACGACATAACATTCAACGTTTTGGCAGCAGTAGCGAAACGAGATGGCATGAAAATATTTAACTGCATCTGCTACGAAGATGCTACCGTCTTTTCAAATTTTCACTTCACGTATCGATTAAGCACATTTTATCACACATTTTAACACAACTTTTAAACTGGTACTCGATCACGCGATTCTGAGTGATTTTCGACGTCTTTGATGGCGTCTGCCTCAAAAATGCTACCAACTAACGCGTCTGCCAATTTGGTTTTGTTAACTAATGATGTTTCCGCATGTTTTAACACATATTTCAACTTGGTACCCGGTATAAAAAATTTGCTATGGTTAGCACAGCAGTACATTGTTCCATTTTTCAGTTCAATATTAAATAACGGAAGTCTTCTAACTGATTCAAATAGGGAAAAAAGTGCAACAATTGATGTCCTCACAGACAGCCAGCGTACTTGTGATTTTGAACTATTCTGGAGGTACATCTGCAACATGATGCAGTTGACGAATAAAAACCATTTTATTTTATGATGGGTTGCAGGACATGCGAATATTTCAGGCAATATAAAAGAAGATGATCTGGCAAAAACATTGCCACGCTTATGCCAAAAGGTCCACGGCCTTATTGTGGCATACAAAAGTCACAGACAACAATAAGTAATAAATCAGTAGGAAGAGACAAGGAGTTTCGCACTGAACATGCAACTTGACCCGCGACAAGTTCAGCGATTTTTCAAGGCCTCGCTGCATAAATCCAAGCAGGTCACAACATTCAGCAAGGTGGATCATCGGTTCCTTACAGGTCATCTTCCGCTAAAGTATCCGATACATAAGTATAGCTGAGCAGAATATTTCGTATGTAGGTAACGAAATAGGAGACGTGAACCGCAAAAGAGTTGCTAGGTGCTTCAATGATCTAAGTCTATTTTAGAAACCAGTCAGGGAATTCACAAAAATCCTGAGGGATTAATAATAAAACGTGCCTCTTTAGAAGATTCGTTGGTGGTAGGTGCACTTTTGGTATACTTACAGACGTCCTCTGCTGTGCTGAAGCCATCCTTTTGAAATATGACCAACGCTACAATGACACATACTGATGTGAAAATAAACGTTAGAACATCGCATACGAAGGACGGAATCCAAAAAGATGCGACATTCGCACCGGACACAAATTGCAAGTGCTTGAACTTAGTAGATCGTTCACGAATGTAGAATATTATGTAAAATGCCATTACGAAAGCCATTGCAAAGCCGAGGTTGTACGCTATTTGAAAGCCAATGTTGACTCGCGATTGTAAACCGGAAAACTGCAAGTTTCAAGATTACGATGGTTGTTTACAATTTGCTTACGGTTCACCTGCTTGCTTAAAGTCTCGGGCAATGGCCAATTAAACACCGCGATAGCGTAATCGGGTGTCACTTCTGACTGTAAAACTGCGTTCATTACCATTTGTAACGCCAATGGGGCCCCGTGATAAGGTTGGTTACTAAACCAAGCGATAATGGACTTGTCCGCTTCGAACGAGGCACCGGTAATGTAACGAGTGTTATAGTCCCCCATGCCCTTTTTTGATTCGTCGATCATCATTTTGGAATATTCGTCATTGGTGATGTTCTTCCAGTTAATGACTATGTGATTGGCTCTGGTAAGCATATTTATAAAGCTCTGCGAGTGGGGGTTCGCAGAGTGAGTACTGATTGGAGTGATTGGGTTGTCGTAGACATTTAACTCGTATCCCAACATAGGTTGGTTAGCAGTACTTGGTATTTTCATTACAATGATCACGGTGATCACCACGAACACTACCGGAATTAAATTTTGAATTAGAAACAGCAACCATGACCGTAGAATTGATAACCATCTTTTGTAAAACATCCCGTTTATTTGGTTCAACCACAATCTCAATCCTGTTAGCAACTTGCCATCATCGATTTCACCTAAGCAGTAACTCGCATTCAAAGCACCGTAGCGTTCAGTTTCTTCAATTTGCTGTTGTTGTCCATGATCAGCCCCAACTCTAAAAACACGTAGAGTTACAAAGAGCTTAATATAAGACATGTATCTAACTTCATAAACACCTCTTCCAAAGTTGTCAAGGACACGCCATAACTAAGCACACCTAAACTATGAGATTCTTGTTCTAGTTCACTTAACATCCGTTCGAATACGCTGTTGTATGCGTCGTCCAACACGTAACTCAATTCAGAACCAATATTGCTTCTGACAGTTATATCGGGTATATGCCGTCTCAGCAGGTCTGTTACAGATTCAATGTGACAGTCCGGTGATTTGTCTAATACTAGTTGATAACCGGCGCAGTATCGTTTCTTTAGGAAGAAACTGGAACCGCTACACTCCAATTTACCACCGGCCATTATTGCGATACGATCTCCAAGCAAGTCGGCCTCGTCCATGAAATGTGTAGTTAGTACAATGGTTCTATCTAGAAATATTTGAATATGATATATGATACCTATTATTTAGAGTTTCAAAGGTATGTACAAATGGTTAATGGTCAATCATGATTAGAATACGTCGACTTTAACAAGAACCCTATAGGGTTCTGTATGCTGAATTTTGTTTAGTTGTGCAAAAGTAAAAGAGATGGTGTCCGTAATATTATCTCGAACACACTGTATAATGTAAATGTGAAGTCGGCAACAGTGCTGGTTTATAAATTAGAAAATACGATTGCAATAGTCGAATCAGAAAAAATACTGCACATCGTACCGGGGGCCCGCGAACGCATTAGATTTTTTTTTATTTTCTGGGCGACTAACCCTCGATTACGACCGCGGTATAAGATGAAATTAATGGGATTCACGTGACAGTCCGGTGTTCGAAGAGGGTAGTTCGGGTAGAACGAATGAAAAAAATGTTTAAGCGAGTCTGCCGATGTTAATACGAGGTGAATGCAAAAATTCAGGGTCCAGCGTAGAAAAATACGTGGGGAATGTAATCGCACCCACGCCACGTCGAAGTGTAATAGCGCGAAAACTTTCCGTTCGAAACGGTAGGGATTTTATTATATCGAATCGTTAGCGGAAATGTTTACTCGGAAATCACCACCTAGTAATTATATATTTATTGTGAAAGGAAATACGAAAGTACATAAATCAATTTCAATGTCATGCAAAGGATTATGTTTCGTGGGATGGTTTAATGTTTTTAACAACACGTCAAAAGATCGTTGTTTCGGTCCAGGGTAACCAGTTAGGGGATGATTCGGTACTACAGTTGAACGACATCGAGTAGATACCGTTATATCTGCAACGATCTCAGTAAAGTAAATTTACTGTATGTTCATATTTAACCGAGTCTTTAAGAGTTTTTGATTTTTTAACACTTCATTGTCATTCAAATAGTAACCAAAGAACCCTTAATGATTCAGACGTTGATTTTCAAAAATTCGATAAACTGAATACCGAACGATCCTCGAGATCTTCACACATACATTATTTTTACAGTACTTACACCTTACGGGGTTGATTCTGTCCCACCAGATCAGCATGGCGTATAAAACGAACTTTTGAATGTGCATTAGTTTGCACGCGCAAAACAAATTGTTTGATTCAGCACTAGTTTTACTTTTATTCGCGGTGCCTAGGGGCGGAGGGGGCACAGGGGACCGCTTAAGGACTTTTTACTTATATTTTCAAAAAACAAATAACTGAAAAGGTGTAAACTCAACACTCTCTATTACAAGCATTGCTTTATCGATTCCCCGATGTAAATTTAATTTAAAAAATATCTTGAAGCAATTAAAACCGTTTTTTTGTAACACTGCGCTGGTCCCCATAGTGCTGGGGCATAGGGGACCATATAATAGGTGCAAGAGGAACGTGGGGAATAATTACATTTTAAATGATTTTGCAGATAAAAAGCAAACAAATTTATTCCAAAATATGTGACAATACAAAAATTCATTTCTAATATTTTATTTACGAACACATTCTATGAACACACTAAACAAACAAGTTCCTCTTCTGTCTCCGACGCCCCTGCGCAGGCATCATGTGCCCAGCCTTTCCAGTTCTGGCATTGGATCCACCCCTTCCCTTCTTTTGATTCACTATAACGGCTAGGACAATAAATACATATAATGTTATTAGTGCCTTCATCTTCACTGTCACTACTTGGAACTTGCACCACTTTCTTTTTTTTCACAATTTTTTTTCTTACAGCGACCTTTTGTTGGACATCTTTAGCAAGTTTTCTTTGTACACCTTTGGTTTCACTTTTTGATTTTTGTTTCTTATCAGTTTCTTTTGCAATAAGCTGATCTTTAAATAGAGAACTTGTCAATTCCTCTGCATGCTGAGATCTATTAACCCTTTTCTGCGAACCTTGGTTTTTATTTTTACGAACATCTGATTTTGGCTTGGGTGAAATTTTCAAGATAACATTTTCAAACGTTTTACTACAACTCGGTTGGGGTTCTTTAAATACATCTGCCGTTTCAGGTTGCATGTTTTCATTTTCAGGTTGAAAGTTTGCGGTTTCAGGTTGAAAGTTTTCGGTTTCAGGTTGAAAATTTCCGGTTTTTTTCGGCATTGAAACATCTGTGACTTCAGCAGGAAGGAAATCTTCGTCGGAAAATATGTCGTCCTTTAATGGATGAATTCCAGTCGTTTGGAAACCTTTCACAGCTTTTTCCATAGTGGCGATATGAAGAAATGCCTTTGAAAAAATCTCTACACAATGAGAGACGAGAACCAGGATTATTAGTGTGCCATAGGTCACATATTGGTGTTTCAAAGATCCAAACACGGTGCGGTCAAGTGGCCAATATTATAATATTGTTCTTTCGTGCTTTATTTATTGCTGCTAGAGACCTGTCAGTGGCTGTTGTGGTTATCAAGCACTAATAATATTTTATTGGTTGGGCTGGGTTTCACATGTTTACTAAAGTGGTCTAAATATTTGATAAAGTGATCGGAATCCATCCATCCAGAACCGTTAGCGTAACCAACTGCAGCTGGTGAACATCCCTTCATAAATAGTGGGTTCATGCGCTGTCGAGGAAAAAGAAAAAATGGTGGAACCTGGAACGTAAGATCCTGCAGCTGAAATCCCACAAACTGCGGTAACATTAAACCCACGTTCAGTGCTCACAATGCGCCCGAACTGTTTTTTCCATTTTTCAGCTAATATCTTTCTGGGAACTGGTACCGAATTGGCACCAGTCAATGTTGTAAGTCTGGTCTGATCGCATATCATTAGCGTCTAAAACCGATCGCAAAACATCAAAAAACCTTTGGACTTGAGGTTTGTTAAATCCTGCTGCTCGTGCTAGGCTTGTAGGCTCAGGAGCCCTAATAGAAAGTTGTGGATTTCTTTTTTTAAAACCGGACAACCAGTCAATTCCAGCCAATTTCGCACTCCTATTAAGGATGTTTTAATTGCATTTGTTCCGCTAACTCAAATGCAAGCCGACGAGCATCCAAAGGAGTTATTCCATAAAAAACGTTTTTCTAGGTCTAAAATATGCTCCACTAATGCACTTTCTTGTTGGACGGAGAAAACTTGCTTAAGAAGGTCAGTTCTGGGAGATTTCGGCACGTCATTCTTTGGTCTTCGCAAAATACAAGTTTTGGCCACTACTAGAATTGACGTTTGTTTACATTTGCGCCAACTACTATATTTTGTAGCCAAATAATCATGTTTAATTGGGGTGTGAAGCAATAGTATATTTCATTAGGAGTTCGGAAAGCAGGCTTTTTCCGTGCGCGCGTGGAAAATTCCCGTGTGAGGCGTAGCCCACTACACCGTACCGTATCATGACCGTACCATGATACAAATACATGTATCATGGACCGTACTATGAACGTATCAGGCACGGAAAGTAGACGATACGGACGGACTACTATGCCCACTAGACCGTATCAACACCGTAACATACCCGTGCGTAACGCAAGGTTGGTATATTACTATTATGTATATTATACATATTATAGTAATTGCCGCAATGGCAAACATAAATTACGTGCAAAACAACAAACTTCAAAGAGCTGAGAATTTGTGCGTTAAATATATTTTTAACCTGCGTATAGATGACAGAATCTACGATAAATACAAAATCCTGCACATGCTGAAGATCAGAGACTTACAAGAATTTAGGATACTAAATGTACTTCTTTCAATACTAAAAAACAAGACACCAGAGTATCTAAACGATCAGTTCACCTTTTTTCAAAGTTGTACCCGTCAACAAAATAAAGTCCTAGTGCTCCCAACTCATAAAACAGAAGTGTATGCTCAGTCCTTCACGGTGAAAGCTATCAAGCTGTATAACAACTTACCGGAAATCGTTAAAACCATAACTACAGCTGCAGTGTTTAAAAAAAGACTCAAAGACTACTTATTAAACAAGAACGATTACTAGTGACCCTAAGTGTATGAGTTGTTATTGTTATTCACACTTCCCGCAAATCAAGTGTATTATTTTGGTAGGGCAATCCATTTCTTTTTCTCAGTTAATTTACCTAGTTAATAATTGTTCTTTATCATTTTTGAACTGTACAATGTATATAATGTAATTATTATTGTATGTTAAGCTCGTGAAGAGGTAAGAGAGGTCTTTTAAGACCTATTCTAAACGAGCTAGATAAATAAATTCAGTCTCTCTCTCTCTCTCTCTCTCTCTCTCTCTCTCTCTCTCTCTCTCTCTCT